AGCACCACTCCAAGCGCTGGCAACTTAGATCCTCCGGGCAGCACCGCTTACAGAGATTGATCCAGAGAGCCCAATACCCCTTATAAGGAATATAGCTCAGATTATAGGGGCCTTAATCCTATGATTTGAGGCATATTCCTTACTTAAGAGGTATTGGGCTCTCTGGGGAGGTTTCAAAGGCTTGTCTTGTAGCCAAGCGCTGCAGACCCGCTTGCTGCCGTCCTGGCGCAGTTTCCTGCGAAGAATGAAATCTCAGTAGCCAAAACGCAGGGAACCCAATTGCACCCAGTGCCAGTGCAATTCTCCGGACATCGCTTCCACTGCGTCGTTGTTGTTGCTGTTGCTGCTGCCTGAGCCGGATTTTTCCTCGTGTTGTCGCTGAGGCTTTGCAGCAGGTGCTTGCAAGACATCCGGAGTGCAGGTCCCTGCTTTCGACATTGCAGCTTGTATTTCTGAGAGCATTTCTGAGACCCCAAAAGTCGGTTTAACGGGAGAATGGGGGCGGGAGGCACGACCCTGAAGTCACTATGCCCCTTTCGTTTCCGAGGTGTTTTGAGGAGCTGCCTGATCATACTCGTTCGGTTCAGGGAGTTTGCTGCGGTTTGGGGAAGTCCATGAGAAGGCCTCCAGTCAAGATGGAGTGCATGGAGGCAGGGTAGCGAGTGTCATATCCTGCTGTAACCACTGTAGTCCCTAAACCCTAAACCCAAAACCCGAAATCCTAAACCCTAAACCCTAAACCCTAAACCCTAAATCCTAAACCCTAAACCCTAAACCCGAAATCCTAAACCCTAGTCTGATGGTCCGGTGGCCATCCTTGAGGCGCTCATTTTTCGGTTCGTTCGCAAGGTTTCTATCTCATCATATGTGTGTTGCACTCGAAAGGTTCCACCGTCAAGCCAAGTCGCAAACTTGGAAAGTAGAGTCTCTTCTAGCAGGTTATACGGTTGATGATATAAGTTCTGCATTACCCATAATCAGGTATATAACATAATTCCCATAGTTTAGGGTACTGCAAGATTTATCTCATCAACAGCAGTGTAGCCTGGTATGTTAGAGTATATTCTAGCATGAAGCAGCATATCATATAGTCTATCGTAGTATGAACCTTCAATGCTGCTCCGACAAAGTGCCCAGGTTCGAGCGACTTAATTAAGTCCCTCTTTTTTCAAGCGCTGAAGCAAAAGAAAGTAGCTCCCAGGCCTCTGACCCATGCGGCTCTGGAGCAGTGCCTTCTGCTGTCCCGGTGTCGCGCCAAGACTCGCCTTGGAGCGTTGAGAGTGGTTCTCATTCGCAGCTAGGATCCGGGGGTGTAACCCCTAAACGGGGCATTGCTGGTTTTGAGAGCTTTGAGCAGTTCAGTTCGACCCATCAGGTCGGCAGTCTCCTTCTATATCTTCTGTCGTCGCAGTTACATCTTGCTTTGCCACCGCACTCTGGACTCTTGAAACGACTTTTGCAAGACATACATGCAATCCGAGGTGCGGGCTGCAAAGACGGCCTTCGTGTCCGTCGCCGGCTCTGGCAGGCTGTTTGCACAAAGAGGTGCCCTGGCCGGCTTCGGTGCATGACTTGCTCGGACCCATCGGACAGTCGCAGCCCGACTGAGCGAGTCGGCTGCCTCACGACCGCTTGCGGTTCGGTATCGGCAGCCCTTGCTCCTCCGTGAAAGTGTGGAAGAGCCTCTTCGCTCGCAGCGCCTCTGACAGCCTTGTGCCGATGCAAAACTTCCTCGGAGGCACCAGCCAAGGCTTCCGAGGTCCCCGGAAAATGTGGCAGGGAGGGCCGAAAGTTAAGGCCTAAACCCGCCGTGTTACCCCGGAAACCCAGGCCCCAAAACCACGTTTCTAAGTGCCTCTCCAGCCGGCTGATGACTCTGCGCCAGTGTCACACACCCAGCACGCCTGGCTGGCATCGGTGGACTCCATTCAGGCCCTCTGAAGTCTGAAATCATCAGCAGTTTTTCGTCAGAGTACCCCAAACCCTAAACCCTAAACCCCGGTCACGCCTGATCTCACAATCTAAACAAGGCCCGGGCCACTGTTTCCTGCGACCGAGTCCTAGCTTGCTCAACGACGCGCTCAGAGACTCTCTGTTGAAGCATCGTGTCTAAAACACTTCGTATAGAACCTCTGTAGAGCCCTTATCGAACCCTAAAAGGAGCCCTCTGTGCCCGAGCATGTGGCAGGTCCTTGCTTTTGGGGCTTTGGCATAGCGGCACAGATGGGGGTTTCTTAAGAAGTACGGCTCCCTCGTCTGGGGGTTACAAGACGGATCGCGTTACTGGTATGCCCTCTGCGATGCGCATCATCGGTGCAGGAGACGGTCTCAAACAAGTGGGCACTTGCAGGGGCCAAGCTACTTGACATCCATGTGCCGACAGCACTGCCACTTGGGACATATCAACTGGCCAGCCTGACATGCGTGAGCTTAGACCACGCAGGTTGGAGATCTCGCTTCGGAGTTGCTCGGTCTTTGCGGTCTTCTGTACATCGTCGAAGAGGCAGTGCTCGCCTGTGCTTTCTCAAGTCCCTGGCGAGGCGGCCTCTCAGCTGCAGAGGCCGCATCCTCTGCAGTTTTCTATGCATCCGATATACATTTCAATTTTGTAAGATCCCTGCCGCACTGTTCTCAAGGCTTCCCCTTGCACTCGATTCCTTTCTGTGCACGCACACAGACCGTCGCAGGTGTTGGTGTACTGCGAAGGTGAACCGTTGACAATCAGCAGGCATGAAGCTGCAATCGGATCCTTTGCATCCGTCGTTGTGTCAATGCCCCGGAGACATATTTCAATATGCTCCGTCCGATGACAAGTTGCAACAACCCTGTATCGAATCTTCGAAGCATCCTGCGAAGCGTCCGGTCCGCAGAAAGCCGCTGCTTCTCCTGCATACGGGCTCTTTGCTTCCCCAGACAGGTGGCAGCTGGTGGAAGTGATGATAGCCCCCACTAAACACCGGGAGAGTCAGGACATCCGATGCTCATTCCACCCGAGCTTCCTCCGTCTGAAAGACTGGAGGAGACCCGCGAGGATAGAGAGAAAGGGAGCTGAAAAGCCCGCAGAGACATGTCTCCTTTATGTGAAGGGGTTCTACCACCACTGCTTCCCGATACTACTGAATCAATGAGGCTTCGTAAGACGTGGAGCATGAAGCTGTTTGCGTTGATGTGCAGGTGTCGGTGCAGCAGTGTTCATAGCTCGTGTCGGAACGGTTGAAACGAGCACTGCCTGTGCTGGGAGTCACAGACCAAGCCTTGGCGAATGGTGAAGGTGTGCGGCAGCTGTGGGTTGAGTGCCTGGTGGCAAGCTTTATGTGGATGAGATCTGCAACACACCCGCCACGCATCGAGATCTCTGGATGCAATGGCAGCAACCATCTGGTTTTCACCAAGAGGCACACTTTGGGAAGTGGGTGGCACTGCAGGCAGCGGCTGACCTGATGTGACGCGCCGCTACACCTCTACCTGGGCCAGGATATTGCCTGGGTTGCTTGCGTGTCCCTGTTGTGGAGCCTTTGCAGGCCAGACTCCGGCCAAGCATACGGAGATCTGTAACTTTTGAGTTACCTTAGGCTTCCAGGGACCTTATTATTGGGTCCTTAAGGGGACCAGGGCCCTAACTATAAGGTCCCTGGAAGCATTGGGTTATTCAGGGCTCACAGCACCAGTCGTACCCTGCCTGCTCATGTGTGTCACCCCTGCCACCTCCCCGCAGCTCAGCTGCGCAGTGACCGGGTCGACGGTTTCGCTCTTAGGGAGCATAAGCCCTAGACCCTAAACCATAAACCCCAAACCCGAGACCCTGAACCCTAAACCCTAAACCCTAAACCCTAAACCCTAAACCCTAAACCCTTCTGGGTGCCCTAAGCCGTGACTTTGGGATGTCCTCTTCTTGCCTTGCTGCCGAAGGGTTCAGGGGTCCCGAGCCGTGACTCGCTGAAGTTCCTCCGCCTTTTCCATGGAAGCTGCCTGGTTGCTGAGGCATCCTTTAGGGGTTTAGGGTTCAGAGTTCAGGGTTTAGGGTTCAGGGTTTAGGGTTCAGAGTTCAGGGTTTAGGGTTCAGGGTTTAGGGTTCAGAGTTCAGGGTTTAGGGTTCAGGGCTCTTGCTGAGGCATCCTTGTGCCGCCAGATCGCACCAACACCCATGGCGAAAGCCACAAAATCTGAGCGGTGCCGACTCTCGACTGGGCTTGCCAAACGAGCTGTTATGTCGGCGGCAGGCAGCTTTGATACTCGAACGCGAAAGAGATAGTCCTTGCCGTCCTCACGGCCTCAGCGTCGGAAATCTTCGAGCTTGCCTTGGCTTGAAAGCTCAAAAAGGGACCTGACCTGAGAAATCATCGCAAGGGGACGGTGGGCTCGTCGTTCGAGTTTAAGGTGCATCGTCATTTCAGGACGCTTTGCAGAAGGTTCAGGAAGCCTTTCCCGCGACAGGTCCGAGAAGGCATACGAGCTGCCGATCAGAGACCGGCAAGCATGCTGCATGAGCCGTCGTGCTTGAGACGGCCCGGATCAAGGTTGCAGCACGATTTTGCTTTCGATGCGAGGCAGCTTCTTGGCTCCCGGGAGAAGAACGCCTTGCTCTGCTGCTTGCCTGTCGGAAGGCTCTGGGGCCAGACTGGAAGCGAAAAGCATGCCTCCTGATGCGCCTGTTGCTGGCTCTCGCAGGGCAGCCCACCAGGGGTCAGGGAGTCGTGTTCCAGCTTGAAGGCTCCTTGGGAGTTCTTTCGCCCCCTCCCTCACCCCTTCGCGCGAGTACAAAGGTCCCGCCGAAGGTTTCCAGACGGGAGGAGCGCCTTTTGCCCGTTTGCAAACGGAATATTTCTTGCTGTTGTTACAAGTGTTTCTTGCGCAATGAGCTTACGACAAGTGCGAGTAGCCCAGCCCACGCAAGGACTTTCCAGTGCAGGATGCGGCGTTGGTATGCCGCATGTGGGCCGCGCGCATGTCACTTGCCGGTCTTCCCACCCCGTGCGGTGACCTTGTTTAGGGTTTAGGGTTTAGGTAAATCCCAGACTGGCCCTAAATCCTAAACCGCCGTGCGCCAGGCGACGTGCACTGGAGGCTTCGAACGGGTGACTCAGCAAGGCTTGTACATAGTCCGCGCGGATTCGTTTAATCCAGCGCCACTCGTCGCTGGCGTCGATGGTCGCTTCGCTCTCGGCCAGTCTGTCTTTCAGCCGCTGCTGCTTGTCCAAGCGGGCCTGTGAGCGGATGGCCCTGCGGAGCTTTTGCTCCTCTGCGTTCTGTGTGCGTCGGGCTTCCGTGCGCTTCTCTATCAGCTCCCAAGTCTCAGAATTTTGGAGCCCCAAAAGGTCTGAAAACTGCCCCCGAAGCCGACGTCCGGTGGCCCATAGCTTTATGAAAGCCCTAAATCCAGAAAATGGGGCCCTCAAAGCCTTCGGGGGGATGCTTGGCATGCTTCTCGCCCTTGGGCGTAGCCGAGTTCTTATCTCGGTTTTTTGGGAGGTTTAGCTCACCTGCGTTTCGGAAAACCTAAACCCTAAACCCTAAACTCGCTACTGAGATTGCCGCAGAGGCTGTAGGTTTGAGGGCCCTGAGGGTTAGAAGTTTGGAGGTTAGTCCCGGTCCTTCAGGGTATAGGGGCAGAGGGTCCGGAGTTTGAAGTTTTCAGCTTGTGCCGTGTGAGGCACAGCGCTTAGTGGCGACCTTTATGCAGAGAGCTGAAAATGACCTGCGCCTCCGTTCTCATAGCTGTCGTACCCATCCGGTAGGCCCCGGAGACTTCGCAGGGCCACAGCTGGATGCCAGGAGGAGGTTGTGTCCTGAAGCTTTCCAAAAGTTCGTCGCAGCACTCAAGAAGCTAAGCCAGTCTCGAAAATTCAGAACATGGAGTTCGACTCAATCCAAACTTGTAGTTTCTTTTGCTGAACATGTGGCAGGTGCCACGAACACGAGCATTCTGTTCCGTGAAACAAGAGCAGGTCTCGTGACTGGGAATCGTGCCAGCTCGGATGCAACTGGGCTTACATATCTCTCGACCCTAAATGCCGAAATCCTAAACTGTAAGTACTTCTTGTGCAGCTTCCGCTTCCCATAGTTTCCGCCACGGTGGATGTAGCCTCGAGACTCCAGTACAAGCTTGCCTCGCAATCCTGTGTCACTTGAGTGACGACTCCGAGGCATCCTCGTGTCAATATAACTACACGTACCAGCAATTTAGGCAACGTGGACATTGCCAAGAGAATGAACAGAAGTGGTTCAACAGTTCATGTTCAGCCTTAGCCAGCAGTGTGGAGGGCTTGTTTGGTGCTGTCATATCTCTTGGATCTCGAACGGCCTCAGCAAAGTGTCGGACGGTGCAGCCTTGTTGATATCTAAGCTCGCATGGCGCCCCCTCTGCCGGAGAATGAGATTTGAAGACAAGGCGCTAACTTCCAGCGCGGCTGTGTCAAGACTCTTTTCCCAGGAGTTTTGGACAGAGGCCAGAGCCATGACCCATCCTGGAAAGCACGTCAGGTGACGATCGTGGTTCTGCCAGGCGGAGAGGCATAAAGGCCAGGGAGTGTCGGCGACATGCCGAGCATCTGTTGTTCTCTCTTCGAGTGATGTCGGCCATTCATTTCCATGTGCTGTTCTCGTTCCACTGAGAAGGCCAGGTGTTGCTTGCTGTCCCTTCCGTTGATCCCACCGCATAGGCAATGGAGTGCCTCAGGCGTCCATCCTTTACCAGACCAGGCGCTTTAATAAGCTTTCTCCAGTTTCCTGCGTACAGCCAACAGCATGAGGCCCGCAGCACAGTTCCCGAAGCGAGCAGATGTGTGAACAAAATCGGCGGTTCACCTCTTGGACAGCTGCTTCGGCCGCGGCCTGCTGCCTTGCGTACGATGCTTGCGGCGGTCTCAGCCCCTCTGTAGCACCTTTACGTGTCTCCCTCCTGCGATGTTTACCCCAGCTATTCTAGTGCACTGAGTAAAATGCTGATAGATTCAGACGAGACGTAAATCACAGGTCCCTGCAGCACCGGGAGATAGAATGCAACTCCAGAATCCAAAGAACTTGCACGACGAGAGGACTGTCCGAACACTGGCGACTTCGCGATGGTGGCTCATGGAACTGAACGTCGAAACCACGGAATTCCCTGGATGCCTGCCTATGAGCGGCGAATTTGACATTTCCAAGCCAGTATGACATCCATGAACTAGTCATGGAGTGCAAGCCTGGGGAACACAGATTTCAAGCCCAAGGTCTCTGCCTGGCCAGCGCCGCCAGCTTTCGATGCCTTCAAAGACAGCTCAGGTGGTGGTTGATGCTTGTAGGATCTAGGAAGCTCTCAGGCTCAACAGTTCGAACACCTCAACTTGGGGAATTGCTCATGCTGACATCCGGCGCGATTGTTCTGAAACTCTGTTAGGCTGCTCTAGCCGAAATGGATG